GTGAGGACAGCCCCTGGTCAGGACAGCCCCTGCGTCAGGACAGCCCCTGGGTCAGGACAGCCCCTGCGTCAGAACTGAGCCCCTGGTCAGGACAGCCCCTGGGTCAGGACAGCCCCTGGGTCAGGACAGCCCCTGTGTCAGGACTGAGCCCCTGGGTCAGGACAGCCCCTGGTCAAGACAGCCCCTGGTCAGGACTGAGCCCCTGGTTAGGACAGCCCCTGGTTAGGACTGAGCCCCTGGTTAGGACTGAGCCCCTGGTTAGGACTGAGCCCCTGGTTAGGACAGCCCCTGGTCAGGACTGAGCCCCTGGTTAGGACAGCCCCTGGTTAGGACTGAGCCCCTGGTCAGAACTGCCCCCATGTCAGGACTGAGCCCCTGGTCAGGACGGCCCCTGGTCTGAACTGAGTCCCTGGTCAGGACAGCCAGGGACAGCTCCTGTGTCCAGACTGAGCCCCTGGTCAGGACTGAGCCCCTGGTCAGTGGTCAGCCCCTGGTCAGGACAGCCCCTGGTCAGGATTGCCCTGTGTCAGGACTGAGCCCCTGGTCAGGACTGAGCCCCTGCATCAGGACAGCCCCTGCATCAGGACAGCTCTTGTGTCAGGACTGAGCCCCTGGTCACGACAGCCCCTGGTCAGTAGTGAGCCCCTGGTCACGACAGCCCCTGGTCAGGACTGAGCCCCTGTGTCAGGACTGAGCCCCTGGTCAGTAGTGAGCCCTTGGTCAGGACTGCCCCCGCGTCAGGACGTGAAGGCGTGTTACCCAGGGCTGCTCCTGACAATGACCCGTGTCTCTCTCTGTGTGAGCCCTGCCCTCCAGGGACTCAAGGCCAGCAGGGACCAGAGGGATTGGTCTGGCTCACCTGGAGCCCGACCCGAGGCCATGGGCGTCACTGGCCTTCTCAACACCCTGATCCTCACCTGCAGAGGAAGACGAGTGAGTTGCCCCCTTGGGTTCTCGCAGGGGTGGAGTGGCCATGCTTGCCCTGCCAGGCCTGCCAGGGCACATGCTGGCCGCATCGGCCCCCCAGGGCCTGGGACACACTGCTCACAGAGCCCACTCTCCCTAGTGACCCTGCTTCCCAGGGCCCACAGACAGGTTCCCTGCTGTCTGACTGCCGCCTGGCTCAGAGGAAATGGGCGCAGAACATGGCCAGGGTGCAGTGCAGTGGTGATGGGGGCTCTGGCCGAGGCGCCAGGGCTGGCTTTCTCTGCACAGTGGGTTGCAGGCTTGTGTGGTGGGGGTGCGAGCCTGGCGGCAGCTGAGCCAGATGACCCAAACAGAGGCTGTCACCTGCTCTCTGCATCCCTGGGCTGAGCCTGCTGACCTCTGCCTGGTAGCCTTGCCGGTAGCAGAGGCCAGCCGGTGGGGGGTCCCCCACCCCGAGTGCTGCAGCCCAGCGTCCTCGGAGCCAGGCCTGAGGGGGTGGACCCAGGCCCGCAGGCAGGCAGCAGGAGGCAGGGAGGCAGGGCTGCCCCTGTCTGGGTCCTGTCCATCCAGCACAGTTGCCAGGTGGGCAGCAGAGGGCGCCTCCCGCCCACGATTGCCCAGCAACACCACTTGGCCAGCTTCCTCCACCCAGGGCAGGGGAGAGGGTGGGAGGAGGGGCTGGGGAGCAGAGCCGACCACCTTGGGGGCGGCGGCGAGTGGGGACCAATAGGCGCCTGCCCTACCCCTCCCGCTCGGAGCCTATGGCCTCGTGGCCCCTGTGGCTCCCTGCTCTGGACAGTGGCCCCAGTCTGCAGTCTGGGCCCTCTGGGGGCTGCAGGTCCCCAAGGCAGGGGCTGTGTCTTGCTGGTGGCTGTGTCCAGGGCCTGGGGTCCCCAGCCTGCCTGTGACCTTCCTACTGCCATTGTCAAGGTCACGACAGCCACACTGTGCCCACGGGAGTCCAGCCTGTTGCAGGGCCAGCCTCGGGCCTCAGGCCCCACCTCTGAGCTGAGCTGTGACCCTGCTCTTGAAGTCCGGGCTGGGACCCTGACAGGGAACTGGCCAGCTGCCCCTGATCTGGGTTCTCCTCAGAGGCCGCCCTGCCCACAGCATACTGCAGCTGTCCTGAACTGCATCAGAGAGGGGCATGGGCACCTGACCCCTCCTGGGGGCTGCACCCCATGACAGTGAGGCCACAACCTGGGGAGAGGGACTGAGCAGACTGGGACCTACAAGCCCAAGTCCTCTGCCACCCAGCGGGGGCTCCCAGGCCCTGGCACCTGGGGGGGCCTCCTCCAGGGCTCCCACTGGACTAGGTGGGGACCCCAGCAGGGCCAGACCCTGGCTCCCAGGAGGGAGTGGAGCGCAGCAGGCCCCTTGGCACGGAACGGCCTGGTTCTCACCACACACTCCGGGTCTGAAGGGAGGCCCGGGCGTTCCTGAGAACCACAGACCTGCCCCCAGCACGTCCCCTGGGGATGGAAACCACATGTGGGGCAGCAGGCTGGGGTGGGTCTTCCTGTCAGCTCCCTGTGTCCACCAAGAAAATTTCTATCCTGAAGGGGTGGACCTCAGCCCCCAGGGGACTGCTACCATGATCCCACCACCAGCTTTCAGCAGCCGGGTTTCTCTTCCCAATTTGGGGAGCCCCAGCTTCCAGGATCTCATGTCACTGGCCAGAGGTCACATGGCTAGTGGGTGACAGAGCTGGGACCAACGCAGACTGCCCCTGCCTCCTGGTGTCCTCCCCCAAGGTACGGCAGGCAGGGCTCACGGCTTCTCTGAGCCACAGTGTGGTCAGAAGGCCCGAGTGGCCCCGTGTTCCTGTGTGCAACTCCTGTCTGTCCAAGGTGCTGGCCACAGTTCTAGCACTGGGGTCACCTGTGCTTGTCCCCTGCTGGGGTGGGGGCACCCCTTCTCCCCAGTGCTCAGCAGGTGAGGGAGCTCTGGCCTCTGGAGCCCTGGCCTCATCTTCCTGTGACCTGGGCCCTTGGATCCAGCTGATGCGGGTGGCCCTGGGTGGGGTGTGGCCAGGGCCGTCCTCTAGCCCAGCACCACAGGGGCAGGAACAGGTCTGTCCAGGCAAGGACCAGCGTGGGGGTGAGGGAAACCCTGATCCAAGGCACAGCGGGGGGAGGGCCTGCCACCCCCGCCCCCAGCACACCCCATCTTGCTGGGATGGGGACTGGCTGGCTGGCGGCTGCAGCCCCTACATGAAGGGCGGGCAAGCGGGCCTGAAGCCCAGTGGGGCAGGGCGCACCCCACCCGTGGGTCCCAGCAGAGCCCAGTCCAAGGGGAGGCAGGAGCCCCGCGCCAGACCGGGGTCCCGAGCATGCCCCAGGCAGCTCTCTCTCCCATGCAGCTTCCCTTGAGCCCCCTGGGTGCAGGACAGGAAGTGGCTCCGGTTCCAGGAATGCTTGGCGCCCTGGCCAGGCTGTGGGAGCCCTGAGCTCTGGGGCCAGGCGGCCAGCTGTGCGTGCTTCCTGGGAAGCCCCTCCTCTGGGGCCCCAGTTCTGCCGAAGTCTGTGCTTGGCTCTGAGAGGGAGCAGGCTTCTCCCCCAGGCTCCGACGCGGAAGAACGTCCTGCCAGATGTTTTCTTTCCACAGAACGAGGCCAGCGTGAGGTAATGGAGAAGATTAACCCGTCCAGCCCCAGTCCAGCTCGGGGTCCAGCCCCGCTGGCCCGTGATGCCAGGCAGGGTCCCTGCGGAGACTTGGGAAGGGAAGGTGTCCTGCTGGGTCAGTGTCTCCAAGGGTCCCTGCACGTCTTTGGGGTGCTGTGGTCAGCTACAGCCAGTCTCAGGGCAGCGGCCTCAGTGGAGGGCCCTGCACTGGGCACATGGCCAGCCCCTCCCCAGCACACAGGCTTTCCTGGAGGGCCTCTGGGTCAAGAGATCTCTGAGTCAGGCTTCTTGCCTACCCAAGAACCCCTGGAAACAACCCCAGTCCTGTCCTCCACAGGACACCTGGCCTGCCCACTCAGCCCACTCTGGGCTCCCTGCCAGGACTCTGGAGACTTTGGTGAGCAGGATATGTGCCCAGCTCTGTGGCCCCACGCTGAGGCTTCTACCCAGGTACCCACATCAGCCAGCAGAGTGGCCATGGCCACCTCCTGCTGACTGTCTATTGCCCTGGCCGGCCACGTGAACCCCAAGCTCCCCAACTCTGCGGAGAAGACAAGATTGAAGGGGTCTCCAGGCCCGGGCAGTGAGACAGGGCCAGGGTGGGGTGGCCAGCCTGGTTGAGGAGCCCCTTCCTGCGCCCCTGAGGGTCCTGCCCCGTGGGCCTCGCCACGTCCTGCAGCACATGCTCCTGGCTTAGATGTGGGCTCCTGCCTCTACCTGGAATCCCTGGCCACCTGGGGGGTGGGCGCTGCGTGTCCACCGAGCCTTCAGGGCTGCACTGCCGGGTCAGGGCACAGGTGGGGGCTCCATGACCAACTTCCACTAGGAACCAGTGGGGGTGGGACGGGCCATCTTCTAGGGGTCTCCCTGCCTTCCTCAGGGAAGAGGAAAGCACTGGTGTGCGCTGGCTCAGGTTTCCAACTGACCAAAGCCCCCAGCACGTCTGCCCTGGGGCACATGGCCTGCTACCAGCCCCAGATAGCCTCAGCCTGGAGCCCTGTGGCCAGCAGGGGACTCCACCAGGCGCCCCAGGCTCAGCCTACTGCTGCCTGGGGGTGGCCCTCCACTGGCATCAGGCCCAGCCCCACCCTGGGGCCATCTCTCTGAAATAGTTGTGTGCACAACCAGGGCCCCCGCGTCTGGTTCTCACCAGAAAACAGGAGCCTCAGCTTTTAGGGAACAGAACAGAAATAAGTTAGGCCAGGCAGAGGCGGAGAAGCACGCCAGCCCGACTCATCGCCTGCCTCCGAGCTGGCGGGAGGGGGCGTGCCAAGGGCTCTGCACTAACATCGTGCCTGCATGTGGGAGCACTTACAGAAGCCGCGGCACAGGCCCAGGGAACGGTGGGCCCCTCTGTCCCCTGATACCCAGAGACCCTTCCAGGACAGACCAGCATGCCACCCTGTGCGCTCTGGGGAGCTCCTGAGGTGGGCATGGGCCAGGGCGGGCATGCTGTGCACAGCAGCCGTGGCCCAGGACTGTCGCCCAGGCCTGGACTTAGTGAGCACCCCTGCTGTTGAGCCTTCAGGCTGTGCCCAGACTCTTCACTGGGAGCTGCTGCGAAGGAGCCGTGTTGGCCGTGACTGACCAGTCAGCAGGATGGCCCTCACAGTGAGCACGCATGTCCATTGGGCTCTGCTGGTTGGCCTCTTGTCCCGACAGGGGGAGGTGTCCTGCACCCGCGCCAACAAGGGCGCCAGCAACCCTGAGCTGCTGGTTCTGACGTGGACGGTGGCTTGTGCTCCTTCCCTGGCTGGCCACCCGCGGCCCTGTTATGCTGCCTCTCCTAGGAGGCCCCGCGACTGAGGTGGCTCCCTGTCAACTGGCACCCGGAGGCACCTGGGGGCTCCTGAAGGAAGGTGGTGCACCAGTGCCGACCAGTGCTGAGGCCACTTGTGGCCAGTGCTGCCCAGCAGGATAGGCCCCTCATGCTGCTCTGCCCTGGTGACTCACTGGGCAGCTGGCCACCACTGCTGGGAGACAGGAGCCACCTGTCCCCGGTGCCCTCGAACGTGGCCCAAGCTGGCGGACAGACTGCAGGGCCCCTCATGGAGGAGCCGCCCAGGGGACGGCTTCCTGGACGGGAGGAGAACCGCAGTCCGCGCCAGGGTTGGGGAGGCAGGAGGCCTGGGCAGCGTCCCCCGCGGGCCCGTGGGGGTGCTCCGCAGTGACGCCGCCATGGAAACCGTGTGTAGCCATGGAAAACAGCGTCTTCCCTGATGAATCATCTCCTAAGTTGGGAGGAAAATTCACTGAACAGTGGAGGCCGGGAAAGGAAATAAAGCTCGTCCTGAGCCCCGGACGCCGGGGGCTGAGTGTCCCCACCCAGGCGGCTTCCTGGTACCACACCCACTGCATGGGGCTCCTGGGCACCCCGACTACCCGTCCTTGGGCTCACGCCCAACCCCACCACGGGCTCCGCTCTCACTCCCCGAGTCATGTGGCGTGTCCAGAGCAGGTCCTAATCCTCCAGCTCCCGCGGGGAGGCGGCGCTGGCAGCCCGGGTGTCCAGGGTGCTGCTGACCATCAGCACCCAGCACATGGCAGGAGGCTCGGCGTGCAGGGCGCGGGCAGCCCGGGGGTGCGCAGCTGTGGCCCGGGTTGTGGCAAGGACCCTTGCTGTCCTTGTGGACAGGCACTGTGAGGCCTCAGGACATAGAGGAAATCTGGGCTGGGCACAGGGCCACTGCCTGAGCCTGGAGATTCCGGGGGTCCTCTCTCTTTGCAAGGTCCATGAGGCCTGGTGGGGGTTCCTGCTGCCCAAGGGGCAACACCCACCAGGGCACCCTGGCTAGAGACCAGAGCTGGGGCTGTGGGCGGGACCCCTCTCCTGTCCTGGTGTCCTCTCGTCCTGCCCTGCTGACCCCCACTGCCCCTTCAGAAAGTCCCTTGGTCATGGCCCTGTCCACCCTGCAGGGTGTCCTGCATAGTGGCTGCCCTGAGGCAGGGACCCTCCACCTGGCCCACTCAGAGCTTCACTTCTCAGAGCACAGGGGGGGGGGGGGCGTTTTTCCTTTGTAAAACGTGTTTTTAGCCGACACACCCAGAGCCCTGGCCACACCCCAGGGCCTGACTCGGCTCCCGCGTGCGTCTCCACACACTGGCTCTCCACACCTGTAGGCCCCTCTTCTCCCCCCTGGGAGAAAGGCTTCACGGAGCAGGAGGTGCAGCCTGGGCACCGAGGCCGTGGGCGTTCCAGGGAGGCCCAGCTCCGCTCGCCCGGGAGCCTCCCTGCAGCTTCCTTCCACCCACTGAGGGGTCTGCACAGGGCGGGTTCCTTCCTCTCTCCTGTGCCCACTGCGGGAGCCCGCAGGGCCCAGAGAGCTGGGAGGAAAGAGGAGCCCAGGCACCCCCTACTGGTACTGTGGCCTCCGCAGGGGCCCATGGACCTGGGTCTGGGGGTCCTCAGAGGCCAAGGGCAGGGGCTCCAGACACGGATCCCCAAGACAGCCCAGGCTGGCCTCCTCCAGGGCCCGGCCCTCTCTCCTAGAGCCTCCCCTGACCAGGCAGTCCTGCCAGTGCACCTGCCCATCTCCCTGTGCCACCCAGGACGCAGGCCCAGCCAGGTGGTGCTGGGGGTGAGAGGCAGAGAGGGATAAAGACCCCTGCCCCAGGCTGGCTCAGGACCTCAGGCCAGGACCTGCCTGGGGCCCAAGTCCCTGTCAGCAGAAGGGGAGGGTGGGCTTGCTACCCCCCCTGCCCTTGGACACATGCACACTCCAGCCCCTTCCCCTGGTGCTCTGTTGGCCATTCTGAGGCAGCACCTCCCTGCACCAAGGCCAGGCTGCCCAGGACAGCAAGGCAGCAGGACTGGGCACTGGCCTCTCAAACCTGGCCTGGCTCTGGTTTGGGAGGCAGACACTGCACCAGAGACCAGCGGGCAGCCCAGGTGGGCCTGGTGGGCTTGGAGGGAGGGAGACGGAGGCAGAGGGACAGAGGGAGACAGACAGAGGGACAGGACAGGAGGGTGGGAGCAGGGGCAGCATGCTGGGGGACGGCACTTGGGAGCTGGTCTTCCACAGCTGCCTGTGCTCCCTTGGCAGGGCATGTGTGGCTGCTGCCGTCACCGGGGCAACTCCAAGGGAGCGAGTGGACACCGAGCAGTGGCCCCGCTCTGGGCACTACGGGGCCTGTCTGCTCCGGGGGCCTGTGGCCTGCATGGACGTGGAAACAGCCTCTGAAGGGGCCCTGGCGCAGCTGTAAGGTGGGAGGCGCCTCTTGGGCCTGCCCTCCCCAGAGGCCTCCCTGGGGTGACTGTGGGCAGCCTGGGTGAGGCAGGGGTGGGCATGTGCACTGAGGGGTGCTGGCCTGAGGAGCCCTGGTGCCACCAGGTCCTCTGGCTGCCAGGCTCCCACTGCAGGCCTGTGCCAGGGCTGTGTTCTGCAGCAGACGTGGAAAGGTCCCTGGGGCAGGCAGACTCAGGATGGGACCAGGAGGCCCCTTGTCCCCCCACGGAAGGTGACAAGCTCCACCGGCCCCTCCTTTCAGACTGGGCCAGCCTAGCTGCCCGGCTCCCAGGACCGGTCGCCGCTGCACAGGGTGGTCCAGCCTCAGTGGACAGCAGGTGTCCAGAGCCCTGGGGGGGACTCCACTGTCCTGGGGTCTACATGCGGTGGCCCCCCGTTCCTTCCCCAAACCCTGGGCACAAGAGCTGCAGCTGCTCGATGCCCAGCCTGGGAGCTCTGGGTGCCCTAAGGGTGAAGGGACGGAGGCTGCTGCTCAGCACTCTGCGGGCAGCTCCCAGGCCTGCGGCCATGTTCAGAAGCCAGGTTGGGTCAGGTGGGGGGCCAGGGACTCGAGGTAGCACTCTGAGGGAGGGTGGGCCGAGGAGAGGGCGGCTGGGGGTCCTGGGAGTGAGCTTGGGTTTTAAAGGGTCTCCTCTACAGCCCTTTAGCGGTCGCTGTGTTGAAACTCCCATCCTGTTTCGTGGGTCTTTGCGTTATAAAGCGCTGGGCTGAGGACGGCCAGCATCACGAGGTCCAGCATTCTGGAATCTTCTCTGGGCTCACGCCCTGCCTCTGAGCGTCCTCGTGGCCAAGCCCAAGTGCCCTCTGCACACACATGTGCTCAACTAAACAGTGGGCCACCCAGGAGAAATAACGGTGGGTGGCTGGGCAGACCCTGGCCCCCCGCCCGCGCCCTCCGGTTCTTCGGGGCTTCTGTTTTGTTCTACTTTACGAGGAGCACAATCCACGGAAAGCGGCAGCGAGGCCACACTGGGGGCACATGAATTCCATGGCGTGCAGGGCCTTGGGGGAGAGGGGCTGCTGCCTTCCCAGGTCTGCGGGGCGGGCGGGAGGAGCGTGACTCAGCCGGCCGCCCCGCCCCCGCCCCTCCCTCCGCCCGCCGCCCGCCCTTCTGGTCCTGCCGAGCAGCGCTGAGGAAGACAGCCCTCCTCTGCAGTCCACCCAGGCCCACCCTGACGCCGGCCCTCGCTCAGCGGTGCCCCAGGCCGGCCGAGACATGAGGCTGGCCCATGCCCTGCTGCCCCTGCTTCTGCAGGCCTGGTGGGTGGCCGCCCAGGACATCCCTGAGACCGCGAGGGCCATTGCCTTCCAAGGTTAGTGTCCTGCTGCGAGGCTGGCTCCAGCCTGCTGCATCGGGAGGGACAGGAGGGACACGGGGTCCAGACCATCTGCCCGACCTTGGCAGGAGAGCCAAGAGCCACAGAGTAGAGTGTCGGGGGCCGGAGGGTCCCAGCCTGCTCCCTGTTCCAGGAAGCTAGGTGTCCGACTACGTCCCCACCAGGGCCTGGGCTCCAGTCACAGCCCATTCTCAGGAGGACACGCAGCTGGGACACTCCAGAGGGACCCACTCCCAGGGAGCCCATGGCCCTCACTCCTGGTCAGCGTTCTATTCCCGTAAGGGCTGTCTTGGGCCCACTGCTGTTGACCCCTTTGACCACCCACCTGGCAGCCGGCCTACAGTCAGGGAGACCTGCGGACATAACCTTTGCTGAGGTCATGCCCTGTGGCTTCAGATTCAACCTGAAAAGTTAGCGGGAAGCAGTCCTGAGCAGCCCAGGCCCAGGCCCAGGCAGGAGGCCTGTGTCTCCTCCTCACCCGCCCCTGCTGGCCGGGCCTCTTCCCTGTGGCTGGGAGCTGTGGCCCACGGCCCTGCTGGTGGGGGATGGGGGCGGCAGGAGCCACTGGCCTGGAGGAGTGGGCACTGGCCCAGCTCACAGACCCTTCCTGGTCCAGACTGCCCTGTGGACCTGTTCTTTGTGCTGGACACCTCTGAGAGTGTGGCCCTGCGGCTGAAGCCCTATGGGGCCCTGGTGGACAAGGTGAAGTCCTTCACCAAGCGCTTCATTGACAACCTGAGAGACAGGTATGGGCACACCAATGGCTGTCCTGGTGTTGGGGGCTCAGGGGACGCAGGCAGAGCCTGACCCCAACCTCCGTCTGAGAGGCTGCTGAGCCCCTCCCAGGGTCCTGGTCCAGAAGCTGGCAAGAGCCTGGGGGTGACATAGTGCTGGCCTTGGGCAGCCCTGGCCAACAGAGGGCTGAGGGGACCAGGTAAGATGTGGGGTTCTCAAGCCCCAAACCCAAGAGGAACTGAAGTTCCCCGGAGGAAACCCAGTGGGTTCAGGGACCTGGCCCTGAGCGTGAGCTGCCTGCTGCCTGGATGCCCCCTTAACCAGCTGGGCCCACCCCCTGCTTGGCCCATGTGAGCCAGCAGACCCCCTGCCCAGGGCCTGGACAGGAGTTCCCTCGAGTCCCTAGTTCCTGCCACCCATCTGCATAGTTTCTGGGGTCCCCCGCAGGGCTCTGGGTATGGGGAGGGCACACCCACCCACTGCTGTCCTGTCCCATCTGTGGATCTACTGGGGAGCTGGGGACACAAGTGGACAGGGCGGGTGTGTGCCCCAAGAGCCAGGACCTGCCCCCTCCTGTGACAGGGACCCCTGGTGGGGGTCACATGGGCTCCTCCAGTGCAGGCCTCAGCCCTGGCCCCACCCATCCCTGCTGACCAGCTGACCAGGTGGAGGAAGGAGGGGTGGTGTGCACTGTCCTTGGGGGGCAGCTCCGCAGTAGCCGGGTGACTCAGTGGCCCCCTTGGGGTGTCCTTGATCCCTCTGCTCAGGCTCTCCTGCCTCAGTTTCCCCACCTGTGAGACTGAGAGCCCCAGGCCGTGCTCTCTGGTGCAGGGAGGAGGCCTCTAATCCACATGGGGACTCCAGTGTGCCATTTGGAACTGACCTGCCCTGCCCACACGCCCACTGCGCACCTCCCAGGGCAGGGCTGTGGCCCTGAGAGGATGCCGTGTGGTCTGCAGGTACTACCGGTGTGACCGCAACCTGGTGTGGAACGCGGGCGCCCTGCACTACAGCGACGAGGTGGAGATCATCCGCGGGCTCACACGCATGCCCAGCGGGCGCGATGAGCTCAAGGCCAGCGTGGACGCTGTCAAGTACTTCGGCAAGGGCACCTACACTGACTGTGCCATCAAGAAGGGGCTGGAGGAGCTGCTCATCGGGTGAGTGGTCCTCGCGTTCGAAGCTGAGGCTTTTAGAAAGATGTGGCCCCAGCAGAACTTCTCCATCTCAGCACTTTACGGTCAGGACAGACGGCTCCCGCCAGTCTGACAGAGGCAGCAGCCCTACCCGGGCCTCTGCTCTGTGGGTCCTGACCCTGCAGTTCCAGGTTCTGAGCTGGGGAGCTCTAAGGGGCCTCCCACTGCCCGCCCTCCAGGGGCTCCCACCTGAAGGAGAACAAGTACCTGATTGTGGTGACCGATGGGCACCCACTGGAGGGCTACAAGGAGCCGTGCGGGGGCCTGGAGGACGCCGTGAATGAGGCCAAACACCTGGGCATCAAGGTCTTCTCCGTGGCCATTACACCCGATCACCTGGTGAGCGGCCCGTCTCTCCTGTGCCCTGAACACGTGGGCTGGCGCCACCTGCACACAGACCCCGCACAGCCCACCATGCTTGGCACCTGCCAGGACCCTGGTGCGGCCATGGGGTGGGGACCCTCCAGCACGTGGCACCCGCCGTTGACAGGATCCACCGGGAGGCTGAGGCGCTGAGCACCCTGCACGGGCCTGCCACCCCCGGCCTCACGCGTGCCCACCGCTGCCCACAGGAGCCGCGATTGAGCATCATCGCCACCGACCACACGTACCGGCGCAACTTCACCGCGGCAGACTGGGGACAGACCCGCGGCGCGGAGGAGGCCATCAGTCAGACCATCGACACCATCGTGGACATGATAGTGAGCGCCCGCCCGCCTGCCCGCCGCGCGGGGCCAGTGCCCCGGGCAGAGGGTAACCTGCTTCCCCCTTTCCTTTCAGAAAAACAACGTGGAGCAAGTGGTAAGAACCCCGCCCCAGCCCGCAGCCCCGCCCCAGCCCGCAGCCCCGCCCCGCGCCTCCCTCGGCCTCTGCGGGGCCTGTGCGCAGGCCCCGCTCCTGCGCCTCCCGCGACGGTCTGAGCCTTCTGACCGCTCTGTCCGCGCCTTTCCCGCAGTGCTGCTCCTTCGAGTGCCAGGTGAGTGTGGCTCCGCCCCGCCCCGCCCCCTGCCCGCCCCCTGAGCTCCCAGCTGACGCCCCCCTGTCTTGCAGCCCGCCAGAGGACCACCGGGGCCCCGGGGCGACCCTGGGTATGAGGTGAGTGCCGCACCTGCCCCTGCTCATGTCGGGCACCGCACCCTGCGTCCCTCTCCCGCGCCCGGCCGGGCTGGTGGGTCCAGGGAGGAGTGTGGACTGGGGAGGGGGGGGGGCGCGTGAGACTGAGGGTCGCAGCTCAGGTGAACCTGAGCTCAGTCAGTGGCCAGCGTTCACACCCTGGGAGACGTCTGCCCGCCAGGGTTTCTGGGGCCCTCGAGCCGCCTGGCCATAGCCCCTGAGCCGAGCACCAGCCCTGTGGGCGTCTTGCTGGACCACCTGCTTGCCTGGTGGACAGGCCTGAGCCTCAGGGAAGGGGCCTTGAGGCTGGGTGGTCGCTGGGACTGGACAGGGTCTCTGCGGACTTTCCCAGCTCCTAACCCGCTGTGCCTGTCCTCCAGGGAGAACGAGGCAAGCCAGGCCTCCCAGGAGAGAAGGGAGAAGCCGGAGACCCTGTGAGTGCCAGGGGTGGGAATGGGAAGCCTGAGGTTGGGGAATGGACTGAAGAAACTTCCAGAAGGAGGGTGGCTGCTGAGCACCAGTGGCGTGGACCAACAGGCCTGAGAGGGAGTGAGGGGTGAGGCCAGCTGGTGGGGCCTGGTGCTCCCTGCAGGGGTGTCTGACCTCTCCTCTCTTCCAGGGAAGACCCGGGGACCTCGGGCCAGTCGGGTACCAGGGGATGAAGGTGCGTGCCCCTCCTCCAGAGTGGCCCTCGGGTCTGGGTGGGTCAGGTGCCCTGCCCTGAGCCCCCGCAGGGCCATGACCCCCTCCCTCCCTGCTTCCTCTACAGGGAGAGAAAGGGAGCCGTGGGGAGAAGGTGAGTGTGGCCTCAGGACTGTCTTTATGGAGCAGCATGTACCCCTCCTGGACCATGGGCATTGCTGGGGACGCCCGCCCCCAGCCCCTCGCCACCCCGCGCACCTGGGAGGAGGAGGCTGATTCCAGGACTGGGCCCTGGGCTCTGTGGCCTTCTGGCCCTGGGCCAGCAAGGGCTGGGGACCAGCGCCCACCACTCTCACCCCACCCAGGGTGTGCTCCTCTGTTGGTTCCCTGTCTCCCTCCTATCCTTGGACCCCCACCCCACCCCCTGGCAGTGGCGGGCACTCCCTTGGGCTCAGGGGTGACTTTGCATTGGCAGGGGCCTCCTGCCAGGCTCCCTGCACCACCGCGTCTGCTGGGCGGGACTGAAGTGGGGGCCAGCCAGGCAGGGCCCCACCTCTCACTCTCCCTTCCTGTCTCCGCAGGGCTCCAGGGGACCCAAGGGCTACAAGGTGAGTGGGCGGGTGCTGTGGTGGGGCCCGTCCTGGGGCCTGGCCTTTCCCTCACCCTCCTGTTGTCTCCCAGGGTGAGAAAGGCAAGCGAGGCATTGACGGAGTGGACGGAATGAAGGTAAGCTCAGGACGGGAGGGCTGGGTGGGAGGAGGGGGCACAGCCAGTTGTCCACCCCTCCCCATGAGCAGGGGCGGTCTCAAGGGTGGACACTCCCAGAGGACTTGGTGATGTGAAGCCACGAGGTGTTACCTGTGGATATTTCCTGTCAAGAACCAGGTCCCAGGGGACCCTAAGCTGCCCAGTTAAGCTCAGAGGGTCGTAGGGGAGGCTCTCCTGGAGGCCCTGGTTGGGCCGGAGCCAGGGTGGTGACAGCTGACCACCTCCCTACCCTTTTCCTCCTTCAGGGGGAGACGGGGTACCCAGGCCTTC